AACATCAGAAATTGAGTTGAATGGAAGTCTGACAACTACAGAATTGAAGAAACCACATCCATCCAGACTGGTAGCAGGGGCGCAGGCATGGACACCAATGTGGAACAGGCTGGCCCCAGACCAATGCAGATAAAAACTCAGGAGGGATGCCCTGGCTGGTGTGGCTCAGTGGATTGAGCACCAGCCTGCAACCAAAAGGTCTCCGGTTCAATTCCCAGTCAGGGCACATCCCTGTGTTGTGGGACAAGTAACCAGTAGGGGACGCTCAAAGCAACCACACATTGATGTATCTCTTTCTTTCTACCTCCCTTCCCTTCTCTCCAAAAATAAATAAATAAAATCTTTTTAAAAAAAATTCAGGAGGGATATCTTAGGAGTGAGGAGTCCCAGACCCACACTAGGCTCCCAGCCTAAGATTCCAATGCTAGGAAGATGCATCCCCACAACTTCTGACTGTGGAAACCAGTAGGGATTGAGTTAGTGGAGGAGACTGTTGGAGCCCTAAGCATTTCCTCCTGGGCAACCCAAACACAGCCTCACCTACTCAGACTCCCTTCCTCCGAGCTCCAGCACTGGGGTGGCAGAATGAAGGGCACCAGGGAGAGACTGAAATGTGGCATCAAGTGAGCAGAGGCCCTTTTCCATTTGCTGAGCTAAAAGATGGTAGGCTGGTGCCACATCTGAGACTCCATCAACCTGGCTAACACTGTGTGACCCACCATGGAGATCCACAGAGACTCTATCTCACCCAACTTAAGGGCTCACCCAAGCTGTTTCTCCACAAGAATGGCTGGTCTTGGCTCCTAAAGCCTATCGAACGAGCAACAGCTGGCTTCAGTGAGCCCAAGTAGCAGCCAGATTAGAGTCACAGCTTGGCTTCACCTGGGCATCTCCAAGCCCAGCACAAGAAGCAGCCATCTCACATGGCTTTACAGCTCAGGCAGGGTGCTCCAGGCAAAACACAGGTGGGGACTGACCTTGGCCTGCACCACCCTGGAAACCTCATGGGCAGCTACAGACCCGGCTGGAGTCCCACCAACCTGCCCCTGCACAGCTGATCCTCCATGGAGGGCAGAGGTTGGTGGTCAGTGTTCACAGCCAGTCCTTGCAGCTGACTGGCCTGGGTAAATCCCTCCCATTGGTCTGCCAACACCAGCCAAGGCTCAACTGCAAGGGGAGGCTGTACTCAGCCCACATGAAGGGTGCAACTTGAGTACCCAGCTTGGGTGATGGGGAGGCTGTGCCACAGGGTCCTAGAGGACACCTATGATATCAGCCCACACTAAAAAGACACAGAGTCAAAGAAGTTCTACCTAATACACAGAAACAAACACAGGGAGGCTGACAAAACAATGTGACAAAGAAACATGGCTTAAAGGAAAAAACAGGTCAAAACTCCACCCCCCCCCAAAAAAAGCTAAATGAAATGGAGATGAGCAATCAGATGCACAGCTGAAAACACTGTTTATAAGGATGCTCAACAAACTCAGTGAGGACCTCAGCATAGGTCTCAGCATACAAAAGTCCCAGCCAGAAACGTAGGACACACTAATTGAAGAACAATTTACAGGGAAAGAACAGTAGAGTGCATGAAGCTGAGAATCAAATCAATGATTTGGAACACATGGACGCAAAAGAACCACCACACAGGAACAAGAAGAAAAAGAATCCAAAAACAATGAGGACAGTGTAAACAGCCTCTGGGACAACTTTAAGAAGTCCAACATTTGCCTCATAGGGGTTCCAGAAGGAGAAGAGAAAGAGCAATAAATTGGAAATCTATATGAAAAAACAGTGAAAGAAAACTTCCCTAATCTGGTGAAGGAAGTGCAAAAGTCCCAATTATGATGGATGCAATGAGGCCCACTCCAAGACACATCATTATTCAAAGGCAAAAGGTTAAAGCTAAAGAGAGACTCTTTTTTTTTTTTTTAATTTTCTTTTATTACTTTACTGATACTGGATAAAAAGCTAAACATTTTATAGAGTGATAAGAATTAGGTGAGTTAAAGGAATACACTGAAAAGAACTTGTCTGCTGTTAGTTTCTGGTAAATAATCAGGGGATAAAAATGCCATACTGGACAAGAATAGGAGGGGCGGGTGATGGGAAAGAGAGAATGAGAGGAGGAGCAAGAGAAGGGGAGTGGAGAGGTATCATCACAATTTACACCATATTACACAGTAGCACTACAGGATAACAAAGGATTTCATAGCCAAGTATTCTGTTAGAAGTCATTCCAGATGGAGTGAAATTTGCAGACCGGATGGGCAATACATCTTAGAGAAGTCATATGGATGGCATATCAAAGTTAGTTAAGCATAAAGAGAGACTCTTAAAAGCAAGAGAAAAGAAGTTAGTTACTGGAAGGTTGCCAATGGGAACACGGAGGGGGATAATGGGTGAAGAGGGGAGGGGATTAAAAAGTACAAATAGGTACTTACAGAACAGCCATTGGGATGTAAAGAACAGTATAGGAAATGGAGTAGCCAAAGAACCTATATGCATGACCCGTGGACATGAACAATGGTGGTGGCACTGCCTGCTCAGGGAGCAGGGAGCACTGAGTGCAGAAGGGCAAAAAGGGAAAATCAGGACAACTGTAATAGCATAATAAAATATAATTAAAACAAAACAAAACAAAGCACCAAGCACCATCACTGGGTGGATAATTCATGCCTAATACAAATATAGACAGCATTATATTCTGAAACTGAGGGTACACCTGTCCAGTTCAGCCCTACCCAGGGAATCCTCCCTCCTCAGAATGAGCTGGCTGAGGTACAGCCAGGGCAGAAGGAAGAAAGGGGTGTTGAGGGAAACAGAGGTAACTGTAGGTGCACATGGGCCTCCTCTCCTCGGCCCTCAGTGAACAAGCCTCGAAAGGGGGCCTCATCTCCCTTCTTTGCTCTGCTCTGTTCCCCTCTCCTACCCTTAGAGCTCTAGTTCAGCCCCTTCTTCAACTGAGTAAGTAAGGAAACTAAGACAAAGAGAAGGAGCTGGCTAGTTTGGGGTCACATGGGTGAGGGCTGGTCCATGACTGTGCAGGGACCCCCAGCTCCTAGCCTATGACTATTTATCCTGCACTGAATACGCCTGCAGAGGCTAGAACAGTGTGGAAGACCGGGGCTCAGGAAGGTGGGCAGGCCTACAGGTTCTGAAGTCTACTCACTGGCCTGAAGAAGGCTGAAAGCAAAACTGCTCCTGAACAGGGTCTGGGAATCCGGTGGCTAGAGAGCACCAGCCTTTTCTAAACCCAATTCTTTGTATAATCCAAAGCCAAATGTTTTCATTAAGGTCACTTTGTCCATTCTCAGCTAAGAAGCCATTATGCATCTCTCTGACCCACAGTAACAAAGGTCCCGTCAATTCTTAACAACAACACAGGCTTGAAAATGCCAGTTAAGCAGCCTGGTGACAGACACCCAGGGCCCCAAAAGCACTAGGGATGTGCTCCCTCCCACCCATCATTAAGTATCATAGAAGTAGCCATTTGCAATGAGCTGCCTAGCTCTGGCCCAGCCTGCCTCTCAGATGAACCTGTGCTGATTCCTGAACAGATGCTGAAATCAGAATAAGGGGACATAATAAGCTACTGAGAAACTCTGAGACACTGCCGTGGGTGAGGGAGGAATGTGGGGGTTAGGAGAGGTCCTGTCCTCTGATCAGTGATCCTGAAGCTACAGAGCCTACCCTCCCAAATATCTGCCCGTCTGCCCCTCGTTTGTACAGCCTCCTGACAACGGGCAAGAACCAAAGGATTAAAACCATAGGTGGTGCTTTGCAAGCTACCTTTCAAAGAGTGACATCTATGTGAGGTGTAATTCTTAGTACTTTCTAGATTAGTCAACAACTGCCCCTAAACTGTTGTTTGTACACAAAACGAAGGGTTTCTGATGACTGGACAAGTTTCAAGGAGTCGAGGGTTCACATTTTCAATCCCAATTCTGTCTCCAAGGCTGGGCCAGAGCAGGAGCATCCAAGACTACACGGGCTGGCTCTTGGACACTGCTTTTCAAAATAAACCCTAAATAATAATTCACCTTTTTTATTCATCTGCCAAGATCAAAGGAAAACACATTAAAATTTTAAAAAAAAACAACCAAGAGTAACTAAACTGAGGTCTAGGTAATTGAGCTGTGGAAAGAGCATGGTGTGGTAAAGAAAAGAGGCTCAGAATCAGATGGGCCCGACCCAGTTTGGCTTTTGGACACTACGGGTGTGCATCCCCACTGTCCCTTTCAGACTAGGTCTTAACCATCTTTTTCATCTCCCTCACCTCGCGGCCCCTACAAGAAACTTGAGGATTGCTGCCTTGTTTAGCTTTTCATTCCCAGACTTCGGCCTGGTGTTTTAAAATGTATACTTGGGCTCTTTCCAATTGTGGCAATTTTTAACCTTTTCAGAGGAAGGCAAACAGGTGCCTATGAGGTTCTGAAAAAGCTAGATACCGTGGGCCCATAAAACACAGGACGCTATGCAAATACAGAGTAGAGGTCACCAGGTCCCTCAGGCTACACCCGCTCACCTCCAGGCGGCTCTGCTCGAGAACCCCTGGCAGCCCCGCAGACCCATCCCGGTCTCGGCCCCGCAGGACCGACGCGCCAAGGCAAAGCCCTTTGCTCAGTTCTTTGTCTCGGAAATTCAGGGATGTCAGTGCCACCTGCCTTACTCAAAGCCTGGTGGCGGGGCAGACACACGGAGGTTCCTTGCAAGTCAGAGGCGCCGGTCCCAGGTCCGGGTCTCGGACCCCAAACTCGGGGTTTTTCCACTGACCGCAGCGCACTGGGGCGGGCGGACCAGCGCCGCGGAGCCAAGAGGGGGCGTCGTCCCCTGGAACAGGTTGGAGCCTCCCCCGGCACCCGGCAGGTGCGGCAGCGCCCTACGCGGTTCAGAAGGGGCTTCCTCTCTCCACTGTGGACCCGCCCGACGGCGGACAAAATAAACCCGCAGCCAATCAATCCGCGCACGGCCGACCGGCTTTGCCTCAGTTTCCTCACCTGCGCGGAGGCGGAGCCAGCCTTCGCGGAGGTCACGTGCCTCGCTGAGCCCTGAGTGTAACACGTCCAGGCTGTGCTTCCCTCCCGCCCGCGTTCTCTGCTGCCTGACGCGAGGGGAAGGAGCACCAAACTCTCTCCAGCCCCATGGGTACGTGGGTGGACCCAGCGCCTGCGCAGACTCGCCACGGCCGGGAGCCGCGTCACTCCCACGTGACCTGCGCCCCCCCACCCCGCCCGGTAGGAGGGGCTCTGGCTCAGTGCCCACCGCGGTTCTTTGGCGCTGCCGCTGGCGCCGCTGGAGGTGATACGGTCTCTCCGGTCTCTCCGAGGCCCTAAGGACCTGAGGATAGTTCAAATGGGGTCCCTGGTTCTCACTGCTCTAGCTTCGTTCAGTCCTTCTCGAGTGGTGACCCTAGACTTCTGATTCTTAGCTTTAGAGGCCCCTTTTGGAGCAAAAGGACTCGCCTAATTGGATCTGGACACACCTGTCCTGCAGCTAAAGACGGCTACCTTTCAGTCCTCAGAGCAGTTTGTTGATGTCTTTTTTTGGTGGGGGCGGGGCAGGGGTTATCGGTAGGAAGAATCCTTAGGACCAATGCACTCGATGTTTAGGAATGGCTTCAGAATTGTCAGCCTCTGACCCAATCCCACCTTCTCTTTAATCTCGAAAATGTTAGTCAATGAGCCGATGATGGTGAGGGACGGTCAGGAGCACTGGCTCCTGGGATGTTGTCCACTCCTCTCAGATTTTGAGTAACGTGGTCTAGTTTGGCCCCACCCATCCAACCATTCATCCATAATTTACTCATATATTGTGTCCACACTGTTTTATAAAAATAAGTGATTGAGAGAACACCTTTTCGGAAATAGGTAGAACTGGTTCATAATACAATACTTAAGATATCACTGGGACAACACATTGATCAGTCATAGGGCAGTGTACAGTGAAGTGGCAGAGCAGGGCCGACGCCTCCACTGCTCAGAGGTGGCCGGCCATCTGTCTGCAAAGCCCTTCTCCCACTCTTCCTGGGAACCGCCTACTGGTGTACAAGTCCAAAGGCTTCCCTGATCTACCCCCTGAACTCCCACTTGGTCTCCAGGTTCCTTTTAAATTTACGGAACTATAGAGTCTATTCAAGAGGTCTCTCCATAACCAGACTGTGAGATCCTTTGCTTCACATTTGGGACCCCAGAGCCTGGCCTAAGGCCAGCACGCAGATGTACTCGGAAGTATGGTGAGACAGAGGTTGTTTATAGATTATGGGTGAGAGGGTTAAGCTTGAGTGATCATGCAGGCTTCTTACAGCACCAGGTAGGTATTTGATCGGAAGGCCCAAAGGTGTTTGGTATATTGATAATTTGATATAATATGGGCACAGTCATAAGAAGGCAATTTACCCTTTAGACTCAGAGCAATGTTCCCCAAATTTTGGGCACCAGGGACTGATGTGGGGGAGGGGGGCAGGAGGCAGAGTTCATTCAGGCAGCCATGCCAGTGAAGCTTCACTGACTGCTGCCCACTGCTCACCTTCTGCTGTGTGACCCAGTTCCTAACAGGCCACAGACTAGTACTAGTCCATGGCCACCCGGGGGGTTGGGGACCCCGATGAAGAGGACCTCTCTCAGTCCCCTGTCCTTCCTCCTTACCTCGTGAAAGGAAGAGGACAAGGCTCAATCTCTCTATCCTGAAATAAAAAGGTTGGTAAACAGTGAGGAAGGTTGCAGGGAAGAACTGCCACTTAGAACAAAACAGGAAGTTATTTCCTTTGGGTATGGATCCCCAGAGACTGACGTCAATGACAAAACAATTCAGGGGTCAGGGGTAGCAGAATGCTGGGGTAGAAGGATTCCTGAGATTTCGGCTGTGATATAATTACAAAATTCAAAAAGTCATGATTATATTTTCACCTCTGTAATATTCCAAAGCTCTGGACTTCAATTAACACACTCCCAGTTTTCCCCAGAAGGCACAAACTAAACTCATTAAAAAGCAGTCATCAGACCAAAAGAGTAAGTTATGGGCAAGTAGGCACAGGAAAACTTACTTACGAAATAACTAAGTAAGGATTAAAGGATTAAAAACAAAAAGAAAAAAATAATCTGCCAAGTTTTAAAGGTAAACGTAATTTTGCTGTTGTAGGGACCATAGAATAACCTAGATTTTGAATTTGAGGGGGATAGGAACTAAGGTTGACTGGGAGCTTTGTGACAATTTAGGTAATTTAGGTATGTTACCCTCTTGACAAGGGCCAGGAAACTTTTCTGTCCTTCACAAACCTCATAGGGCAGGCAGAAAACACTGCTAGCAAGAGGCAGATGTGGATAAGGGCTTGGGATTCTTTCAGCATCACAGCCACCTCCAGATTCAGCTAGCTTCTTCTACTCACTCAGCAGTGATCTGTGTCCATACCATGACATGATTTTTTTAAGCTGATGGTCCTGCTTTGTGTTTGAGCTCTGTGGGAAGAGTTCAGGAAGGAGCTGGTATGAAAGCGAAAATAAAAGTAGAAATAGTGCTTGACCTCACTCTCTCAGGCCTAGATTCCCATTCTGTGGCTGAGTGAAAGTCAAATCAATATCTAAAAATGTGTATGAACCATGAAAATATGGGGTCCCCCCAAAACTTGGAATTTATAAAAAGTTGTGTATTTATTGTTATATGTTTAAACTTCAGTCACCTTCAAAGTACTCTCCATTTGATGCACTACAACCTATCGAGATTTTTTTCTCCACTGTTGAAAACAGTTTTTGAACTTGTTGATTTCCATGTCTTTTAGTGCTTCTGCTGTGTTTTGTTTCATTTCTTGGCAAAACATTTCCCTTTGAGGACTTTTTTTCATCCAGGAAAACAAAAACGTCACTCGCAGTGAGATTGGGTGAATAGGGAGGATGGGGAATGGGGGTCATGCCATGTTTGGTCAAAAACTGCTGAACACTCAGTGCTATGGGCAGGGGTGCTTGTAAATCACCCGTTGTGAAATGAGCAAATGCATGGAAAGAGTCTTTAAAAAAATTCACTGAAGCAGAACGCAGCTTCACACAACAGTGACAGCTGGAACACTGATACAGATGGGTTCCTAGAGCACTCACCTAGCAGAGGAAGCCCACACTACAAGGGGCCTGCCTTCCAGAAGATAATTCTGGGGTTTTTTTTGGGGGGGGGGAGAATCCTCCCTTGTAAATGTACACAGGTAAGCTCCAAATATCTTCCTACTTGCTAATATCCCTGAATTCTACTTTTTCTTATTTTTAAAAAGTATAAGTAGTACATAAAGGTGCTCTGCTTCCTCAGCGTGCCCCATGGCAAACCCTTTAGGGTCTCATCTCGGGAGCCCTTAATAAACAACCACCAACTGTTCACCAGGTGAATCAAGAACTGACTGGGGGCTGGATGGTGGGATTGTTCTGGCCCCAGGTTGGAAATAACAGCATTTCCTGGAGTGTCCTCACTCCTTATCATTTGCTCTAGTCATTAACATCTACTGAACCTTCATTCAGTTAGGAAGCTTTGGTTTTCAAGGAACAGAAATTCTAACTCAAATTGCTTTGAGGTGATCCTGCAGTTCAGTAATGTCATCAGCATAGATAGTGACCGTGTTCTGCAGTCTATGCATTGGCTTCACTTTAAAACTGGTTCCTCTTGGTCACAGTGTGTCTTCCAAGATGCGGCATGGGGTTGGGGGCAGTCAAACTAATGCGTGGTGGTGGGGGGGGGGACCCAGAGCCTCGTCGTGATTGGTTAATCACTGTGGCCAAGGCATTGCTACATTCTGATTGATCTAAATGGCTTGGGTTAGTTCCCACCTCAAAAAAAAAAAAAAAAGTGAAATAAATGTGTCAAGGTGTTCCTAAGATATCTTCACAGCTTCTCTGTCTTTTTGGACTCAGAGTCACTGATCTCTGGATTTGTCACACAGTGATATTATTTGGTTATTAGGAACACTGGTGATGCAGCATTTCTTAAAGCGTGCTCCACTACTGTCGTCTGCTCAAAGCCAGCAGGAAGTTTTGATAAATAGATGTTTGACATCTTAATGGTAGTCCTGCAAAACACATGAATTGATGACACAAACCTCTCATTGCTTTGGAATTTCTTTTATCTATCAAGAGATTTGGCAAATTTTTCCATTACGTTACAATACTTCTGAACGCATCTTAGAAGCAAAAACATAATAGACTTCATTTGTGTGTGCGTGAGGGGGATGGAGTGGAGGTTGGGAAATAGCTTTTTCTCTTAGTCCTATGAAGCACTGTTGTTACTTTGTAAGAAAATAGGAAAAAGAAATTATTCTTCTAATGACAACATTTATTTTACTAATATCAAATTTGTATTCCACTGCTGCTTCCATGAACTTATGCATTCACAATAACTTTTTCATTTCAACCCCAAAACATAATGTAATCTTTGGGAAGATTTTATACAGCAGTTAAACTCAACTCATGGAGTATAAACAGTGGGGTGCATGTAACTGAATGCAATTGAACTAATATAGAATTCAAGTTTTATAAGGAGAATAGTTATGTAAGTTTTATATGAGAGTAGTTATGAAAGTAACATGAAAGAACGAGAAGGTGAACTTTGCCTCACCAAATATCAAAATATACTGTAAAGTCATTGTAATTCAAATTAATAAGATATGGGGATAGCCAGATAGTAACAATGTGATTTAAAGTGATTTAAGGTGGGGACTCTGAGTCACACCGACAATGCGATGATTTAGGGTGGGGAGACTGATGTCACCCAGGCGGACAGTTAGCATGGTTCACTTGATTGAGTCCTAATAAAGACTCTGGAGACCAAGGCCCAAGTGAGCTTTTCTGGTTGCCAATACTCTGTGTACTGTTATGCATAGCCACTGGAAAAGTAGCACTGTTCATGATTCGTTCCATAGTTAGAAAACAACCAAAAGTTCTGAGTTCAGTACTTCTGAAGCAGGTTAGTAAGAAGCTAGGAAATTCCTTGGCAAGTGGGATGGGGAAACAGAGACAAACAGCTAAACAAACTGCTGAGAAAGTAACAGCCAGCTAATAAATTGCAAAGTCCTGTTTTCTCTAACCAAGGACACCGAGGAGAAAATGGTTTACATCTCTCCCCACTAACCAGATAGTGAGTAGTTCAAATTGCCCTCGTCAGGGAGCTAGATAACAGAGACCCAGCTGATGCCAG